TCATTCATTTTCAAGAAAATGTCTGTCAAACACTGTGAGCAACTATCTTCCAAGCCCGAATAGCCATAGTTTGTCCCTCATTTTTTTCAGGTAAAAATGGCATCCTATGAAAAAAGTGGCTAGTTCAGCTAGTGACTCAAACAATTACAAGGTACTTTTCCTCAGGACAACAACTGTACTTGGTATACATAAGTGCTTCATGTGTCCTGCCTGCATCATGAAGAATATTAAAAGGTCATGTTCTTGCTTCTGCAATGACATCCTATCTAATAATAGACAAACATGGTAATTGACCGTACCTTTGCTATGCCTCCCATTGGCTAATCAGCGAGATATGCAAATTAACCGCCAACAAAGATGGCAGTTAATTTGCATATGTAGGTGCGAAGCAATGGAGCGAAGGCTTGAAGGCGGCTCTGGCCAGAGCAGCGAAGACTGAAGGCGGCTCCAGCTGGAGTGAAGGCCTGGGTCCCGGGTGCCAGAGGAAAACCAATGCCAGCAGCCAGGGGAAGGGAAGGCTTATTGCATGAATCTTTTCATGCAACAGGCCTCTAGTTCTTAAATAAAACTGAATTTTATTTTTTAATAATTACATGGGCAATGAAGAATACAATATAGTTTAGTGCCACTGCCTTGAATCAGCTAAGGCTCCAGCAATTTTACCCACCATTGCTTTTGTACCAAAACTGCAAACATCACCAAGTGAAAAAGCAAACAGTGTCCTAGCATTATTATAGAGAGCATTGACCATAAGGACGCCTAAGAACCACATTTTGAGAGCTGCTGACTTAAGTGACCATATTTCTGACGTCTCCGCGACCCTCCAATTAAGTCAAGGTGAGGAGCGGACACCGGGAAGTCCATATTATATCCTCACAGATGAACCTGCTTCATTTTCCTTTCATCACCGCTCTGATAGGGAGGGGGCAACAGGGAACAGAGACCACCAAGGATACCCGCCTTTACCCTCCCACAGTTCTCCGAAAAGGGCTCCCAACCTTTTTCATATCATGGCAGGGGGAGAAAATGATATTTTTATTAAGGAGTAAAGGAATGAGGCTGCCTAAGGCTTGAGATCCCTAGCTGGGAGGTATAGGCCCCATATAGCCTTCCGGAGGTCATAGGGGTTGGTAGCTGTGCCCACTCCCAGTGGGTATGCCAAGGCACATGAGTTGGGCAGTTCTGCACTAAGGTTCTCAGTTCACTTGGGGGTGTCAGACTGGAGGATCTCTATTCCACCCCCCAGCTTCATGCTGCCTAAGAGGCTCAAAGCTTATTCAAATGTGTGAATTCACAGAGTATCTGATTGTATTTCATGGTAGAACCAGAATTATATTAATGTAACTTGATGAAACTTGTCCAGGACATTTTCAGATATAGTGTAGTAACTAAGAGCGAAGAATCTTATTCCCTGACTACGGAGAAGTTTAAAGCCCTGGCTCTGCCACTTACTAGCTGTGTGATCTTGGGAAGGTAACTTAAGAGCTCAGTGCCTCAATTTCTCCACCTATGAAATGGGGACAATAGTGCCTACCTATTTTAAGTATAGAGTGAGTTAATATATAAAAAATACTTAGAAGGATGCCTGATAGATGGCAATGTTTGCTCTTGTTATTATGCAGGTGCTATAGGGTCTCCTAATTGGGACTGCTTCTCTGAGCATGGCAGTGTTAAATTGAAGGTTTGCAAAGAAAGCGAACTCCTGAGTTACCAACAGGCTCCATGTTAACCTGTAGGATTCCAGGTCTGAAGTAACATACTGGAGAAGGGAGGGAGAGAGACGGGAGAAGAAAGGCTGTTCCAGGCCTTTCTAGTCTATTTATGGTTTACATCCAGGGTTTAAAGTCAGTACCTTCTTTTACCATTAATACACAAACAAATAAGTCTCTACCTAATATATATATAATTTTTCTCTGGGAGGGGGCCATCGGGGAAAAAATAATCGTTACAGACTATCAACCCACCCATTTCTCACCAAAGGTTTTTTTATGATGGTGTCAGAAGCTGTGGCTGGGTGAGCCTAGGACTTCAAGAGCCTTCCAGAAAGCTAGAATAGGTGACCCAAAGCTGGCACTGTCCCAAATACACCAGATGACAACTTCTTTACCTTGAATTGGATTTTTTTCTTCACTGAATGGTTTTTGGCAACTGTTTAGCATGGCTCATAAGACCATTATAACTAATTAAGAGTTCAGGTTCCATCTGAAGCTGAATGATTTCAAGAGTCCTCTTCATGTAAGTATTCAATATCTGAATTGCCACAGTTATAAAGTTACAAAGAAACAAAAGATTATCATAACAAGAAAATAGTCACAATTGCACTGACTGCATAGAAATGTAGCCTGTCTTCAAACATCCCTCACAGCTTAGCACCGGTACCTGACCCCCACCCTTCACATGGGTATCTTTTGTCAGCCAGTCAATGCTTGTCTGATGTACCGTATTTGCCGGCGTATAAGACGACTGGGCATATAAGACGACCCCCTAACATTTCCACTCAAAATACAGAGTTTGTTATATACTCGCCGTATAAGACTACCCCCTCTTCCGCACACCTTCCACACACCAAATAAAAGGTAAAACAATATCAGATTTGATTTTAACATTTTAATTTATATTCAAATGCTTATGACATGCAGGAAAACTGTCACAAGGCTGTATGTAATCAAACATATACATAAAACAGTGCAAGTTTATTACCGGTAAACATACCGGTAATTCACTAAAGAAAACACACTCTATAGACTGGTACCGTAGATGCTTCTCAGGAACACAGGCAAGCAGCCCACAACCTAGAGGGACTGTCAATGATAGAAGTAAGATAACAAATAGAGGTAGAGAGCAAGTGCCGGGCAAGTCCCTAGCAA